TCAGCCGGCAGCCCAGGTAGTAGGCCACTTGACTCATAAGAAGTTTATTTTTGCTGTCTCTGTATATCTGTTCTGCATCGTGATCTTTTCGATCCCCTGTAAACAAATTCAGAAGAGCAGGTCACATTAAGCAAATCACACGTCGCACAAGACCAAATCAGTGTCCAGTCATAGCAAAAGGACTTAAGATATTCTCAGTGTAAGAATGTGATATTCTGATGGGAATGTTCTAAAGGGCCCTAGATGAAGTCACCCTAGAAGTAGGTGAGCCACTTTTCAGATCCATGGGACAAACTCTCCCTCATCTGGTAGATCTTAATCACGTATCCTCTGACCTAAGTCAGTGCAAAAAATTAAAACGTTTTCCCCAAAACCTTACAAAAATTGCCCTAAATTCTTTCCAGAAGTGTTACTTCAGTACTGATTTATCTCATCATATACCACTGTCAATGAATGGTTAGAGTAATTTATGTAGATGACTAGACCAATGGATGAATTCTAACAACCTTTACTGAAAAAACAATCTGTGGAGCAGGCGTGGTGGCTCACACCTGGAATACCAGCACGTTAGGAGGCCCAAGTAGGCAGATCCCTTGACTTCAGGAATTCAACAACAGCCTGGCCAACATGGTGGAACTCCGCCTCCACTAAATATATAAAAATTAGCCAGGTGTGGTGGTTCCCACTAGGGAACCCAGTTAATTGGGAGGCTGAGGCACCAGTACAGGGTACTCCCTGCTCTTGATGGTGCCACATACACAAACCACAGGTTCTATTAGGAGCAGGGTCCCCTTCGAGCTCTTCACATCAGGTACTGTGTGCTATCACTGTGTTTCCCCCAGTGTCCCCAGAACACAGCTTTGCCTACTGGGCCTCAGCAGAAACCGGAACCTAATGAAAGTTCAGTAGCCACAGACATTTAGACCAGCAGACTGGATGCTACTTGTCTGCAGGATCTTATATGGTACGGAGAGGATTCATGTAAACATGATTTAGCCTTTTGCTGAGAAGAACAGGTGGTTCTGTGCCTGTGTCAGAAATCAATAGCTGGGATTGTAACCCCAGTCCCTCACCCACCTTATCGCAGATGTGGAAAACTTGCTAAATACTTTGGCCTCTGTCTTCCATCTTTAACTAAATGTTAAAATACCCATTTCCGTTTTCTACAAGTATGGGAAGCATGAAATTAACTTTGATGAAGAGAACGGTTAGTTTCTTGAGACAAGACAGGACATCACTCATCAGTTTCATGGTAGTCAACCTATAGAACTTACCGTATGTCTTCAGCTGGTAGTTCCGCAAGTAGGCCACCTGGCTCATAAGAAGTCTATATTTGCTGTCTCTGAAATTGGGTTTGGTCTCTTCCTGCTGGGAGTAGGAATTCTCGATGATATCAGGAAAGTTCACCGCTGTGGTTTTCCTGGAACACGTCCTGCCGGATGCCACCATGCTGACGTTGGGGTCACCACAGGTACAGCCAGAGACTGGGGAGAAGAAACCGAAACACATGGTCGGTTAAAAACTGGAAATCAAATAGGTTTAATCAGGACTGGGGGATGTCAATAACTCAAATTCCTAACTTACTGTTCAGAAAAACTTGATCCCTCCTCACAGCACTTTAGGGTCCTTAACCACAAAAACAAGGCTGGAAATGCTTGAGCTGAGAGCCGAAGGTGCTGCCTGTAGCTCAGGCTCTGACGGGAGTGTGGGAGATACTGGCCAGAGTCCCAGGTAACGGCCTGCTGTTGCAATAACAGAATTAGAAGCTGGGCGTGTCATGGAATCTTGAGAGCACTTCATTCCAATTGCCCAGGGTTTGCTAAAACACAGACCTCCTGGTCTCACCTGAGGTCACAACTGATGGGGACCGTTCCTCTATCAGTCACTCAGTATTTGTGTACCCTTGTGACAATGCCACAGTCCCATCTCAGTCCCAGTATATCTAAGCATGTTCCTCATTTCTCATCTCTTGTGTTTATAAAATCATCAAGGCAGAAAGTTTCCCAACATGTGATATTTTCTTAATGCTAGTCATGAAGTCAGTCACCCCTCCTTCTCATATGTTAAAACAGAATTGAAGTCTTTTCCACACGTTTAATATATCAACTTGGCCGGGCGCGGTGGCTCAAGCCTGTAATCCCAGCACTTTGGGAGGCCGAGGCGGGTAGATCACGAGGTCAAGAGATCAAGACCATCTTGGTCAACATGGTGAAAACCCGTCTCTACTAAAACTACAAAAAATTAGCTGGGCATGGTGGTGCGTGCCTGTAGTCCCAGCTACTCAGGAGGCTGAGACAGGAGAATTGCTTGAACCCAGGAGGCGGAGGTTGCGGTGAGCCGAGATCGCGCCATTGCACTCCAGC